TACAGTTGGCACTCCATTTCCATGGTTCCACACAAGGGGATTCAACCAACCTTGGATAGAAATATTTGGGAAAAAAATGAAAAATAATAATACAAACAATAAAAAATAATACGAATAAAAAATACAGTATAACTATTTACATTGTATTAGGTATTATAAGTAATCTAGAGACTATTTAAAGTATACAGGAGGATGTGTGTAGGTTATATGCAAATAGTGCTTCATTTTATATAAAGGACTTTAGCATCTGCAGATTTTGGTATCCTCAGGGGATCCTGGAACCAATTCCCAGTGGATACCAAGGGATAACTGTAGTCTTTTCTTCATATAGCACCCTGCTGGGAACCTTCCAATAACTTCCCATCACATTTAGAATAAAATCCAAACCCTTTATTGTGACCTGCACAATCTGGCCCCTTCCTACTTCTTTGGCTTTAACCACATACACTCTTTATCTAAACTTTATTTCTCTTTCTCAGACATGCCAGGCCCATTCTCACCTCAGAGACTTTGTGCTTGGTTTTCATTCTGCCTGGAATACTCTTCCCCCAGATTTTCAAGACTAACTTCTTATCATGCAGGCCTCTCTATTCAGACGTCACCTTTTCAGAGAGCCTCTCACTGTCAGTCTCTTCCCAAGAGGCTGTGAACTGTACAAGTAGCTCTGTCATCTCACAGCTGTCACCTTAGTGCCTTGATGTGTGGACACTCAATAAATATCATTGAATGAATAAGCAATTGGTTGAGGAGAAGTGAATAAGCATTAAGAATTCAAGTTCACCCTGAGATAGTAGATAACTGTGAAAGAAGTGGAAACAATGATAGAGATAAGAACTGTGGAGGGACTGGGCATGGTGGCTCATGCCTGTAATCTTAACATTTTGGGAGGGGGAAGTGGGAGGATTGCTTGAAACCGGGAGTTCAAAACCAGCCTGGGCAAGCAAGACCCTGTCTCTACAAAAAATTTTTTAAAAAATTAACTGGGCGTGGTGATGTGCACTTGGAGGAGGATCACATGAGCCCAGGAGTTTGAGGTTGCAGTTAGCTTTGATGACTCCACTGAAGTCTAGACTGGGCAACAGAGTAAGACTCTGTGTCAAAACAACAACAACAACAAAAATCCAAAAGAAAACAAAACAAAACTGTGAAGGGTAAGTCCATTTATGCAGAAAGATACTAAATTTTGCTTTAGACATATTTGATTTGAGATAATGACAGAAAATATATGGTAGAGGCAGAAAGTGTAGTGATTAGGAGCACAGTTTCTTGAACTAAATTCATATCCAGTACCACTGTATACTAGCTGCAAGATCTAGGGGCAGTTAGCTCCTGTGTGCCTCAGTTTCCTCACCTGTAAATAAGGATAATATTACCTATCTCATAAAGTTATTGAGAGGACAAAATGAATTAATAAATAAACAGTGTCTGGCTAATAGTAAGCACTGTTTTAGTGGAATTAAGGAGTTCTGTATATAGAGGAGATAGTGAACACCAGGGCTTTGACCAGGGTGGGGTGAGTGAAGCACGTATGAGACAAAATTTGAGGAGGCACTGGCTGCAAGGGTTGTGTAATAACCCTGCTCAGGCTTCCTTAAATTTTGTCTCATTGGCCCTTCACTCCCCTTCACCCTAGTTCCAGCCCTTGTTGAAGTAATCAAAGGGGAAAACCCTTCATGGGTAAGAGTCTCTGAATCTGGGCCTTGGTAGGAGTGTTTTTTTACTGTTGCCAATCTTTGGTTGCTGCTCAGCCTTTTCCATCACTTACGTGACCAGTATCCTGAAGTCAGTGCTGTTTGCTGAGTAGATTGTTTTCCTGGTTGGCCCCTGGCTGATGTAACAATTAATATGTTGTAGAGCTCCATAATAAGTAATAGGATTTCAGGGAGGTGGGCGAAGAAGCTAACATTTATGGTGTGACTTCAATATGTTAGGTGCATTTACATACAAGATATTTAATCCTCAGCAGGTGGTGGAGTGATGCCCACTGGAGATTTTGTAGATGAGAAATTGAAATTCAAGGCAGTATAAAGCACCTAGGGTCACTACAAAACAGAGCTGGGATTCAAACCTAGTTTGAAGGTAGAGTTTATACCCTTTACACTGTGCAAAGCATCGGGGGGCATCCAAATTGTGTGTAAACTCCCTTTAAACTGCAAAAATTTATTAGCTTTTTTTTCTAGTGAGAGATGGTTTTTTTATTTTCAGAGAGAGCGGCCATGAGACAACTTCTCCCTTCTTTCTTTCTTCTTTATTTATTTATTGAGATGAAGTTTACATAACATAAAACTAGTAATTTCAAAGTGAACAATTCAGTAGCATTTAGTACACTCACAGTGTTATACAACCACCGCCTCTATCTAGTTCCAAAATGTTTCCATCATTCCAAAATAAAAGCCCTTACTCGTTAGGTTTCTCTCTATTCCCCACTCCTCCCTGCTCCTGGCAACCCTCATTTACCTATTCTGAATATTTCATGTAAATGGAATCATACAATATGTCACCTTTTATGTCTGGCTTCTCGCACTTAGTATAATGTTTTCAAGGTTCATCCATACTGTAGCAACTATCAGTACCTCATTCCTTTTTCCTGAACAATATTCCATCATATGAATATACCTTGTACCACATTTTGACTATTGTGAGTAGTGCTGCTGTGAACATGTATATACATGTACTTATTTGAGTAACCATTTTCAATTCTTTTGGATATATTAAATTTTAATTTATTTTTTAGCCACCTGCTTGAGTATCTTTTAGATATGTATGAACTCATTAACTTAGACCTCATTTTTCTAATTCTAATTCCTATCAATTTCAGATTACAAAATGAAAAAATATAGTAACTAGGCCGGGCACGGTGGCTCACGCCTATAATCCTAGCACTCTGGGAGGCCGAGGCGGGCGGATCGTTTGAGCTCAGGAGTTCGAGACCAGCCTGAGCAAGAGCGAGACCCCGTCTCTACCAAAAATAGAAAGAAATTAATTGGGCAGCTAAAAATATATGGAAAAAAATTAGCCGGACATGGTGGCGCATGCCTGTAGTCCCAGCTACTTGGGAGGCTGAGGCAGAAGGATTGCTTGAGCCCAGGAGTCTGAGGTTGCTGTGAGCTAGGCTGACGCCATGGCATTCACTCTAGCCAGGGCAACAAAGTGAGACTCTGTCTCAAAAAAAAAAAAAAAAAAAAAAAAACTAATTTATGTTAAAATATTGTTTCTTTTTGAAGCCTTCATTACATCTGTAGCCTTATAATCTGATTTTAGTTTGGTGTGCAAGTTTTGCTATTTCTGCCCACGGTACACGTGTTTATATGTGTGTATATGTGTGCAGGTGACACAGAGAGAGAGAGGACAGAGGTTTTTTTTTTCAACATGTAATATAGCCATTCTGCAACTTGAAGATGATTTACAACTACTGGTTGATGTTCTATGTTAATATTAGCAGATTTTATATAAAGCACCATTTCTAGGTCAAAGAGATCAAGCTTTTTTCAAAAGTGCTAACCGAGAAGGGTTATTTGGCAGTTTGGGCAAACAAATAAATGTAGCTATTTTCAGTTATAGGTAAATAAAATTGTGTTTCTTTCATTAGAACAAATGAGAGCAGATGAGGGAGGGATCATTGTATTTTGTAATTTTTATGAGAAGAAAATATCTAAAATAAATTGTATGCACAAATAAGCAACTCAGTTGAAAATTATTTATTTATGAAACAAAACCTCTTAAAGAGAAAAGAATGCTGACAGCAACTTAGTATGCAATTATACTGCACTCCTGTTCTTACCTTACATTTTCAAAGTCATAGACAGTAATTTAGTTGTACTACCGTTAATGTTAGTGGGAGTTTTGAAACTTACATTCCTGCACACAGCTTTGAAAACGTATAGGTCAAAGTAAACTGTTAATGAAAAACTGTTTTTCACTTTAATGAAATAGTTTAAACCTCTCACCAGAGATATCCTAGAAGGAACCTTCATTCTAGTCATAGAAAAGTTATAGTGTAGGGTTACCATTTGGAGGTCATCACCTTTAAAGCAACATGGATAAGAAAAGGATATTAAACATGGATATTAAAAAGGAAAAAAAGTGTTTCCCAAACCTAAAGAATGCAGAAATTCAGGACCCATGTTGTTCAATAGTAAGCAAAGGACATTGGACCTTTGCAATGGATCCTTTCAGCTGTGTGCATCTGATCACCGATAGAGGCATGCTAAGGTGAATTTTAATTAGGACTAAATTGTGGTATTACTCTTTCATACCCTGAACATCTGTTCCCTTCAGAAATGATGATTTATGCAGGCTATCAGAGTAGACAGCTTGCTACAGCTTATGTCACGGTTAGTGGGAAGCTGGTGGTAGCATTTCAGAAAACCAGCATCTAAATGGAGACTGGCCAGTGTATATCATACAGGTAATAGGGGGAGGGAAGCATGATGTGTCCATTTTAAATTTTGAAGCCAAATATTGACTTGACTTTAAAAAAAAATTATCTTCTAGACCATCTGTTGTTAATGAAGAAAGTAACTTGGACAATGAATGGGTTGATGCTTCCTACTGATGTCAAAAGACGGAAAACCAAGCCTGTTCTTTCTACTAGAATGAAGAAACTTGCTGAGAGGACTTCAGTCCGAATTCTGTTCTTTAAAAATGGCATGGGGCAGGATGGGCATGAGATTACAGTGGGAAAGGAAACAATGAAAAAGGTAATTTTGTATTAAATATTGAAGTATGAATTAAATTTCAAATTTTTATGGCTTTGAAATGTGTTTTTTCCTTCTAAATATCAATGTCAACTGATAAACTGAAATATTAAGAAGGCAGTATATAGAACTAAAAAATGTACCTGATTACAAGTCTGATTATTTACACTAACACCATAAATTACCTTAGCAAAGCAACAATATTCCAGGAAATTATTTGGGTAACATAGTTGGCCATTTACCTAATAAAAAGTTATGTTTATACTGGAGAAAACATTCTAATTAGTTACAATATTTTATAAGATATTTAGATGGAAGCTAGTCTAACTTAGCTTCAAATCTCAAATCTGCCACTTTTCTTTTTGAATAGTAATGAGACCTAAAAGCTCCCTTGCTCCTCAGAAGAATTATCAAGGTCCAAAATAACTAAAATCAGTTTTATATAAATTTGATAAAATTTAGCATTCATATACATTTTTAAAAACAAATCTGGATGGGCCTGAGAAAAATCATGAAATAATCATACAACTTTACAAAAAACAAAATTTGAAGTATTGCTTGTCATATAAATACATGGTTTTTTAGAAGGTACTGGTAATTCCCAGATCATCTTTGATATTAAAAAATATGGAGGGTTTAATGGGAATTTGAAAAACACATACTTTTTTTTTTTTTTTTTTACAGATAAGGACTTTTTTTTTGCTTAATCCCCAACGTGATAGTACAGATAAGGATTTTTCAACCAATCTTAAAGCAGCATAATAATATAATATAGTAACTGAAATTTGTTAAGAATGTATTAGAGAGACAGTAAAACATAACCAAATGCCTAGGTTGAATCTTGGCTTCGCCATTCACTAGCTATGAGACCTTGGACAACTTAGTTTCCCTGAGCCTCAATTTCTTCATCCAAAAAATGGGAATAACAATAGTGTCTATTTCATGGATTTGCTGTGAGGATTCAGTGTGATATTATTATGCATGGAGTACAGTGCCAGTGCCTGGCACCCATAAAGTTCCTAGTAAATGTTTTCTATTCTGATCTTTAAGACTCATACTATACATCTAATAGAAATTATTTTTTCTCCTAATGGGAAACTCTTATTATGAAATCAAAAATAAAAATAATTTTGTTATACCAGAC